TTTTCACAGATGGTAATTTGGAACAATCATGTCCCAAACCAGCGGTAAAGATCGTGTTCACCAACCGCCTGGGAGAGGAGCCAGCGATGAAAGTGTTCTGACCAAGCTTTAGGGTCCGGTCATGTGACCCTCTCCCACTGTTTTATCAGACCGCATGTCTCGCTTGTGCTTTCTTAGGGGGGATGACAGGTGGGCTTATGTGCTGACGTGTCACTCCATGACTGGGACATAGCAAATGAGTGGATGACAACAGGAGTCGGGGGTCGTAGCAGACAAGGCGGCCAGGGCTAATGTGGCGGCAGATTGAGGGGACAGTGTCGGGGCGGAGGTGGATGGGGTTGCGGCGGACGGAGGTGGTAGTGTGGAAGAAGGATGACATGCGAATGCCGTTTGATAGATGTCTAAACACATCCCGAATTGTATCCTCGTTGTCCATAGCCCCCATCCAAACACATAACAAATACGTTAAGGGGCAGACCTAGGTAGTGCCAAGTGAGGGCACAGGCCGCCACTCAAAAAGTGTTATTGGTGATTCTATACTACTTTCCACCATTGGTGCCCCACACAAGTGAATGACAAAGCCCTCACATAGTAAGAAATATGAGGTGAATCTGATGATCATCGTTAGTGTGCCTCTGGTCAATCTTTCTCCTAGGTCCGTCTCATGTATGTCATCATCCCTCAACTAAACGTAGAGATGGCGAAAGGCCTTTAGCTGAGATGGTTAGAGCGCTCGAGTAGCACCTCTCAGGTCCTGGGTTCGACTCCCCGTGGAAGTGAATTTCAGGTTGGGGATAAAAAAAATCCGTCGTCTATCCCACAGCCAAAGCACAAGTCAAGAAGGCCTGGCCCGATTCTCATAGGGCAACAGTGCCCTTGTGTCAGGGTGGGGCAGGGGTTCAAGGGTTTTTCTCGGCCTATGTGAGAATGTCTTTTCTATCACAACAATGCCTGGGGATGGTCTTACCTCTGTAGGTCGAGTATTTTTTTAAAGAAAACATAGAGGCCCCGTTCGCTTCGCTGAAAAAACAAGTCAAAACACTGTTCCGGCTGATTTGTTGTAAGAGAAAAAACACTGTTCCGGCTGAAAAAACGAGCTGAAAAAGACGGATTATAAGAGAAGCGAACAGGGCCAGAGATGAAATGGCCATCCTATCTCAGAAAGCTAGACTGTTTGGTTCCTTCTCGTCCCAAAGACCCAAACCAAATGGAACTAAATGCGTCCCTAGTCCACAGCGAGACCACAGAAACGGTCGCCATTTGGGCTGAAATGGGGTGCTCGAGACCGGTACGGCCTGCTGGTGGAAGAAGCATTCGAATTCATTATTTTGATGATTGTCGCCAACCACACTATTATACTGCTTCTGTCATCTGTGTTTCGTTAAAAAGAAGAAGAGGAAGGTTTGGTACTAGCAGGACGCCCTTGCATTGACCTGCCACAGGGCTTCTATCTCGTCAATAAAAGGTAGTTTTGATCTCGTACATTTATATTTCAGATTTTCTTTCATTTCATAATAAATCACATGTCTGATGTGGAAATGGACGGCCTCTCTTTTTTGCATTAAAAGTTCTAAACCTGCAATACAGAACATGATCAGAGTGTAGTTGAATTCAACTGTTATCAGTACAAAATTCAAATCTCAAAGGAGCCCACGCCCCCGCGCAGATAATTAGTGCCTTGCAATTTACAGAGAAGACAAATTCGCTAGAAATTTGACTCAGTTTTTCTCTCTCTCCTCTTTCAGTCATGCATGCAGCTTAATTGTATAATTCACACACACCGATCGAATTACCGATGAACACACGCCGAACCATTAAACTCGTCACGGCCATGGCCCAAGCCACGTACGATTACATTTGCTCGTGACGTACGGACGTACAGCGCACTGTGAAGTGTCACGCACGCAAAGACGACGTGCGCCACCACCGCCTCAACATTTACGTTGCTGCTGCTGTTGCTTGTCGCCGCCGGCGGCGGCGACGGAGTTCTTGCAGCGCGCGATGGCGGCCTGGATGGCGCTCTGCAGCTCCTCCATGGTGCTCACCTCCGACGACGTCGACGCCACCTTGGTCACCGAGTCCCCCACGTAGCTGAGGTGCCCGCTGGTGGCGGGCGACCCTCGCAGCGATGCGGGCGCCGACGACAGCCTCCCCCGCCTGTGCCGCTTGGACGACTGGGCGTGGGCGGCGGCGTTACCCCCGGCGTGGCGCGCGGAGGTGAACGTGTGCGGCCGCCCGTCCCGCCGCCTGCTGCCCACGTCCGGCCGGCTGCTACTGGCGGAGTAGGACGACGTGAGGAGCTGCTCCACCATCGCCACGTACTTCCGCACTGCCAGGAGTATCTCCAGGCCTCGACGCCTCCTCCCGCCAGTTCCGCCGTTGGCTTGCTGCTGCTTCCTGCTGCCGTTCTTCTCCCTGCCGCCCGTTTCGCCGCTGCTCTCGCTTCTTGTCCAGGCGACGACGCTGGAGATGAGGAGCGAGAGCCTCTGCTTGGTGGCCTTGCCGACGTTGCCGCCCTCGTTGTTGCTCGTCGTCGTCGCGCCGCTCTGGTGGTGGAGGCTGTGGTCCGCCGTCGTCACTGAGCGGGAGTTGCTGTGGCTGAGGTCGCTGACGACGCGGCCGAGGCGGTGGGACATGTCGTCGGTCGGTGCGCGTGGCCCGCCGTGGAGAACGACGTCTTCACCGGCCGTCGCCCGTCGGTGGTGCGGAACAGAGCTACAACGAGAGAAGGCTGGTGAGTGGAAGCCGTGGGGGAGGCCGAGACACTGAGACAGAGAGGTGGTGGTGGGAGAGCGATCGAGGCACGAAGCTGTATAATTATTGGCTTGGCTTGGGATGGATGCCGCCGACGGTGGTGGTGGCCATGGCTCTGAGAGATGAAGGGCTCGTGTCGCTGCACGTGTTTGCATGCAGGTGGGCATGGTGAGCGGTTGCTTGTTCAGTGAGAGTGAGGCAGGGAGGGTTAATAAGGCAAGTCTAAGTGGAGATTTCATCGCCTTGTTACTAATGTATCCATATTTTAGAAATAGTGCAGAAGAGTTTCATCCCCATGAAACTCTCTCTACTCCCATTAAACTCTTATCATCTCTCTCTTCATCAATACGGTGCCACATCAGCCTATTTAATACCCATGAAACTCTGATGAAACCCCACTGAAACTGGCCTAAGGCCTGAATGCCTGATTGCAGTGTCGAGTTGTTCAGTTGCACTAATTCATCATCATCAACAAAGTTTATTGAAACGTACGAGATGAGAGTTTGTTACCGTCGTGCATGTTTGCCAGGATGCAGCATGCATGCCAGCATCTCAGGGGGATGACGATGTTGACGTCGACAGTGTAACCGTATTAAGCGCCACGATAGTGACGCCGTGTACAGTTTTTTCCCCCACGAGTGGCACAAGTTGCAGGATAACCTGACATGACGACAACAGGTGATGCGGGCCTCCGTGATTGATTTGTGAGGCACACGAAAGGCCTCGTTTTGCAATTGCAACCAAACACGATGTATATCCATAGCTAAGGCTGTAGCTTGGTCAAACGTCCTGACAATATTGTTTCATGAACATGCTATATATTGCTAGCTAGTATTGTGGTTTTAATATGTGTACGGGAAGACGAGAAATGAAGCAGCTTATACAAGGATTTCATTTCTTAGTAAAGAAACCAAAATACTGCACATGGACGACATTGTAGCAAGAGGTTCATGGGGGATTTCCTCAAAATAGCCGTGTTCACACTTCAAAAGTGTAGCCTACTAATGTAAAAGGTTCCCATCTGATCCAAACCGACAAGCATTTCAATCATGCTTCCGATTCAAGACACCTCGCCAAGGGGATCAAATGGCATAAGCTCCTAGCTTAACTCTTCCACCGGTAGGGATGGAAAAATAGAAATAGATAATTTAATATTAATTTAATAGCTAAAATAATTTAATAGTATATCTATAAATAACTTTAATACTAGTTTAATATTATTAATGATCCATAAATATTACATTAATTTTAGTATTTTTCTAATGTAGTTCAAACATAATAAATTTGTTGTTGTAATTATTTTAATAATTTAATTTATTTATTTACTGATGTAAATTGTTTTATATAATTTATATGATTTTATGATAAATCTTATATAAAAATGATTACTTAATTTATTTTTTTAATTATTAAACATTTATGGACAACTATATTATTTCTTATGAGCTATCCCTCTAATGAATTCACTCTGAAGTCACTAACGATTAAAAGGCATATACATTCCCCTCGTATTCACTTTTCTAGATTTTGAAATGTTGGGTCCATCCAGCGAATCCACCCCAAAGTCACTTTCGATTAAAGGGCATATACATTTCCCTCATATTCACTTTTTTAAATTTTAAAATGAATATTTGGGACCCTAAACGAATCCAAATGAAAAAGGTTTCAACTACGAAGGTGTAGATATCATTGAGTACTACAACTTTGGTTTTGATCATTTCGCCATCCAAGGTCATTTGAAAAATTTGAATTTGAAATTAAGTTGTTGTTAGTTAGGTAGATGTCGACCAAGCTGCAAGTGGTGGCGTGAGTTGTTATAGTTGTTCTAAAGTTGTACGGGATGAGTAGGGCACTCTCCTCAGTTGTATGATTTTTCTTACTTAGTTTCCATTTAAAAAACTAGGTTGACACTTGCCTTTTTTCTTTCATTCGTCTAATAGAAATCGTAGCAAAGTTTTTACCGTCCTTTCTATAAAAAATTATGAGACTTGCAACATAATTTTCGGGCTGCAAATGATTTCAAATAAAAAAGTTATCAACTACAAAGTTTTATTTCTCATCGAGATCTGTAACTTTTGTTTTTTGTCATTTTTCTGTCTGAGCTCGTTTGAAAAGTTTGAATTTTAGATCGTGAGAACTTAAAACATAATTTTAGGACCACAAATAATTTCAAATGAAAAAAATATCAACTACAAATTGCAATTTTCATCAAGTTACTGCTGTGTTTGCAGCACAAGGTTGAGCTGCTAAAGGTGCCGCCGCCCAGCCGGGACGCCGAGGCTCCCCTTCTCCCAGACGCAGTAGTCCTTGCCGTGTGCCGCGGGGTGGATATCCGACGGGATCATGTTGCTCACGTCGTACCTTGTCCCGATCTTCACCATGACCTTCTCGTCGACGACGGCCACGTACGCGTCGGCGTCCGCGACGAGGATCCGCAGCTTGCTCCCGGCGTGGATGCCGTTCCGCGCCCGGATGGCAGACAGCGTGGATATCTCCTGCTTCAGATTCCAGTCGAACATGTGGTCGTAGAACTGGATATGCATGCACACGTACACGTACACGTACACGGATTAGCTAAAGGCACGTCTGATTTTGGGAGTGAAACTTGGAGATTCTGGTGTGATTAACGAGCATTTACGATGCAGGGGACTCCTGGATGGGTGAGGATATAGGCGTAGCCCTGCATGACCTTGTCGGACGGGAACGGCCACAGCTTCTGCGTGGACCCGGTGTCATGATTGTCGACGAAGGTGACGGCTTTCTCTGGCATCCACCCGATCATGCCAGCCGCCTTGCCGGAGCTGTCGCGCAGCCGCCACAGCTCCCCCTGCACGCCCGCCTGCAGCAGCCCCTTGGTAGTGAAGTCGAACGCCATCGCGGGCCCTCCAACAGCCTGCACCCAGTTCATCAGCTCCTGCCGGCACTGGTCCTGGTTGGGCGACGGCTTGCCGTCACCGCTGTAGCTCAGGGAGTTCCATATCTCGGCAACGACGAAGCTCGGCCGGGTGTTCTCCACGTACATCTTGGCGACGGCCGGCGAGTAGCCCTTGGCGAAGTCGAGGCGCCAGCCGTCGAAGCCGACGTCGTCGGACTTGAGCCAGTTGAGCCAGGCGGAGAGCTCCCGCTGGACGCGCTCGTTGAGGTGGTCGATGTCGGGCGCCGCGGCGAAGCCCTCGCCCGTGTCGCGGTGGCCCGTCCCGTCCGAGTACTGCGTGTCGTCGCTGCAGATCATGCCGGGGCCCCAGTCCAGGCGGTCGTCGGGCGTCCCGCCCTCGAAGATGCAGTAGACGCCGCGCGCGTCCTTCTTCTCCGCACACCGGTGGTTATATGGATAAAGGGGCCACGTAGGTCCCGCGCGGACAAGAGGGGCAGCAGCCCAACAGGCGCCGAGATGCGGCGGCGTGGTGCTGTTGACGACGAAGACCCGTTGCGGCCGCGGCGGCGGCGGTTGCTCCCAGCCTCCCACAGTCCCACTCCCGGCAAGACGGAAGAGCTCGGCGATTGAGCTCGATCGCGGGCTGCGGGCAGTCGCAACTGGAGGCCTGAGTGGCCGCGGGGGCGCCACGACACTCGACTAGGCCGCGGTAGCTCTGACTGGACGGACGTATGGAGGCCGCCGTCGGCTTTCGCCTCCTTAAATTTCTTGACCTGGCGATGCTATCCACATCCTGAAACGCAAAACTGATCGATCGATCGAGCATTGGAGCCCCTGATGCCAACCTCGAAAAGGGAGAACTGGATAATGCTCCAATTAATGGAGCCGATGGAGCTTGCTTGGCCAACACTAAGCAATCCAACAGAAAGAGGTTCACCGTAATCTATATGCATGACCACAGTCATGACGAGATCATGTCAGTCAGCATCTCTGACGAAATTGGACTCAAACTTGCTGAATCGCCGACTTAGTATATTTATTACTCCTCTGCGTCCTGGGACTGGCTACAGCGTTCTAGATGGCATTTCTTTGTTCAATTGTTTGTGAAAATTGGGAGTAAGAGTGTGTAAAGCATTTCTCCGACCACAAAAGTCTCTGAAATGTCTGAAGGAAACACCTGCACTGAGGTCTGATGAAGGCTGGAAAATTCCCATTTCCCACATTTTTATTTTTTTTATATGTAATATATGAAGTTATGGCTCCCAAAGGCCAAAAGTATTAGCAAATTAAAGACAAAAAAAAAGGTATATTACTCGTGATAGAATTGAAGAAGTGCTAAAACAGTAAAGGTGCTAGGTTCTTCGGCCGCGTTTTTCAGCTTGCAAATTGCCAGATTGTGCTTGCAATACCATATTGCAAAAATCTAGTCCCTAAATTGCAACATCCGTAGTCATTTTGGAACCCACCCTGCTCTTTTAATTTACAACAATCTGTCATGTACGGCCGGACCTATACCAGGAGGCGCCAGGCCCGTGACATCAGGCGCGTGGCTGAGCGCGCCAGCGCGTCATGGACGCAGCCCAGGGGTTGGTCGAGCCATCTAGTGGCTAATATAGGCAATAGTTGTTAGTATCCCTAAGATTGAGGAGGGATTAGTTACTATTTTTATTCCATCAAAGATTATATATTTCCCCTATAACCGGCACCTTGGAGAATAAGAAAGATATAAACCAATCTGTCTTCTTCTTCCCAACTCTCAAGCCTAGGTTCTTTGAGGGTATAACCTCGCCCTAGAAGGCGGATCACGGCATTTCACAATTACGTGGCGGGTCCAGCTACTCAAGGTTTGACATACTGGACAACCTGGTATCACGATTCGGCGATCCTCTTCTTTCCACGCTCCGGCCGCCGACCCCCACTCCACCTCCGATCCGGCAGCCATCACCCGTCCTCCTCCTGCACGGCGGCATGGGCGATGATCCGAGGGCCACCGTTGAGTCGCTTCGCATGAAAGGCGTCAGCGCGCTGCAGACCACCGTCGAGGCTAACGCGACGGGCGATCACGGCCCTCTCCACCGATCGCTCGTCGACCCTCGGGCTCCAAGCAAGCCGAGGGCGTCCCTCCATCGATCATCCTCCCAAATTCCGGAAGATGGATTTCCGAGGTACGATGGCAAGTCCGATCCGGCCGATCTTTCTCAATCATTTGTGAATCCTACTTCCACCAGCAACAGATCATGGAGGAGGAGAAGGTTTGGATGGCCTCTTACAACCTGGAGGACAGGGCCCAGATGTGGTACATCCAAGTCCAGACGGACGAGGGTACTCCATCATGGCGCCGATTCAAGGAGCTCATCAACCTGCGGTACAGCCCGCCCCTGCGGTCCGCGCCTCTCTTCGAGCTCGTTGATTGCCGCCGCACTAGCACCGTCGCCGACTATCGAGATCGGTTCAGCGCGCCGCCTGCGGGGGGGGCCCTCGACGAGGCGCGCAGCGTCTAGCTCTTCACCGATGGACTCATCGCCTCGCTTAGCCTCGGCGTGCGGTGCACAACCCCGATCCACGGTAGCGCGATGAGTTTGGCTCGCCCACTAGAAGCTGCGGGAAGCGATTCACGGCGCCCTCGACCATCCGTTAGCAGCAGCGCCAGTCGCCGCTCGCCCCGCCCATCGCCTCATCGCATTGCGGCGGCGGCGACCACCTCTCCACCGGCCGCCATCGAGGGCGACCACCGATCAAGCGGTGGCGTCGGCTAGCAGGAAGAACGTCGCCGTCTCGGCCTCTGCTACAAGCTGCGACGAAGTTCTCCGCTGCCATAACCGGGTGCGAAGCGCCTCTCTTCTTCCGGGCGGCACCGTGGAGGACGACGACACGAAGGAGCCCATCGAGGAGGCAGCTCACGAGTCGCCCGCTTTCTCCCTGCAGGCCATCGCCGGTGTCCGCCTCAGCGACACCATGCAAGTCCACGTCCAGCTTCATCTCGGACGATGCGGCGCAGCTCACCGGCCTCCCTCTCCAGCTCCGACCATGTCTCACCGCCACCGTTGCAAGCGGGCGCGTCAGTATCGCGTGGCGTGCGCGCGCAACGCAGCGGCGTTCTCCATCCACAGCACGCCATTTCGTGCCGACCTCTACGTCATGCCTCTCGCCAGCTTCGACATGGTCCTAGGGACCCAGTGGTTGGCAACGCTGGGACCCATCGTTTGGGATTTCAGCACCCGCACTGTCTCCTTCCAGCTCGAGGGCCGCGAGCTGTGCTAGAGTGGTCTGCCAGGACCGACCACGACCAGTGCCCACGTCACCCAGACCACGACGTCTCTGCTGGACGAGCTGCTCGAGAGCTTCTCTGACCTCTTCGCCGAGCCGAGTGGTCTGCCTCCTCCTTGGAGCAGCGACCACCACATCGTCCTCTAGCCCGGGTCCCAGCCGGTGGCCGTGCGCCCATACCGCTACCCGACCACACAAGGATGAACTGGAGCGGCAGTGCGCCGCCATGCTTCAGCAAGGGCTCATTCGGCGGAGCTCGTCGGCGTTCTCGTCCCCGGTCCTCCTCGTCAAGAAGGCGGATGGCTCCTGGCGCTTCTGTGTCGACTAGCGCACCCTGAACGCCATCACAGTCAAGGACGCCTTCCCGATCCCAGTGGTCGATGAGCTGCTCGACGAGCTACACGGCGCAAAATTCTTCACCAAGCTCGACCTCCGTTCCGGCTATCACCAAGTCCGGATGGTGCCCGAGGATATCGCCAAGACCGTTGTCCGCACACACGAGGGGCTGTACGAGTTCCTGGTGATGTCGTTTGGCCTCTACAACACCCCAGCCATATTCCGTGCGCTGATGAACGACATCCTTCGCGCCTTCCTCCGCCGGTTCGTCCTCGTATTTTTTGACGATATTCTGATCTATAGTGCGTCATGGGCGGATCACCTTCGCCACCTCCGCGTCGTTCTCTCCGTCCTGCGCCACCACCTCCTCGTCGTCAAGCGATCCAAGTGCGCGTTCGGCGTCACCTCCATCACCAACCTCGGCCACATCATCTCCGACGCCGGCATAGCCATGGATCCTGCAAAGGTGCAGGCGGTCCTCGACTGGCCCCAGCCCCGCTCGGCGCGTGCATTGCGCGGGTTCCTGGGCCTCGCGGGCTACTACCACAAATTCGTCCACAACTATGGCGCGATCGCGGCGCCTCTCATCGCGCTCTTGAAGAAGGAGGGCTTCGTCTGGTCCGAGGAGGCCGCCAGCCCTCAAGGCCGCGGTGACATCCGCGCCAGTATTGGCGCTGCCCGACTTCGCCCAGCCGTTCGTCGTCGAGTGCGACGCGTCGACACACGGTTTTGGGGCGGTGCTCATCCAGGACAAGCATCCCATCACCTACTTCAGCAGGCCGGTTGCTCCTCGCCACCGCTCCCTCGCCGCCTACGAACGGGAACTCATTGGCCTCGTCCACGCCATCCGCCATTGGCGCCCGTACCTCTGGGGCCGCCGCTTCACAGTGCGGACCGATCATTATAGTCTGAAGTATCTGTTGGACCAGCGGCTTGCCACGATCCCGCAGCATCACTGGGTCGGGAAGCTCCTGGGGTTCGACTTCACCGTGGAGTACAAGCCGGCGCCCAGAACACGGTCGCCGATGCGCTGTCTCGCCGCGACATCGAGGACAACACGGGGGCGGTCTTGGCGTTGTCTGCGCCACGTTTCGACTTCATTGACCGCCTTCGTCAAGCACAGGCTATGGATCCGGCTCTCGTTGCCCTTTGGGACGAGATCGTCGCAGGCACCCGCGCGGCGCCTTGGGCCGTCCAGGACGGCTTGGTCACCTACGACGGTCGCCTCTACATCGCCCCGTCTTTGCCACTCCTTCTGGAGATCGTCGCCACAATCCATGAGGACGGCCACGAGGGTGTCCAGCGCACGCTGCATCGTCTCCGCCGTGACTTCCACTCCCCCAACATGTGCCAGCACGTGCAGGACTTTGTTCATGCCTGTGCCACTTGCCAGCGGTACAAGTCAGAGCACCTCCACCCGGCGGGACTCCTTCTGCCGCTGCCCGTGCCGACGGCAGTGTGGACGGACATTGGGCTCGACTTCATGGAAGCTTTGCCCAAAGTTCGGGGCAAAACCGTCATCCTCACTGTGGTGGATCGCTTCAGCAAGTATTGTCACTTTATTCCACTGGCTCATCCATACTCTGTAGAGTCTGTCGCTCAGGCTTTCTTCGCCGACATCGTCCGCCTCCATGGGATGCCGCAGTCCCTGGTGTCCGATCAGGATCCCATCTTCACTTCGACATTTTGGCGCGAGTTGATGCAACTCATGGGGGCCAAGCTGCACATGACGACAGCCTTCCATCCACAGTCGGATGGCCAAACTGAGGCGGCCAATCGCGTCATCACCATGTACCTTCGCTGTTTCACAGGCGATCGCCCTCGTCAATGGCTTAGGTGGCTCCCTTGGGCGGAGTTCGTCTACAACACGGCGTACCAGACCTCCCTCCGTGACACGCCCTTCCGCATTGTCTACGGCTGTGATCCCCCGACCATCCGCTCTTATGAGCCTAGGGAAACGCGGGTTGCTGCTGTGGCCAAGACTATGGCTGAGCACGAGGAGTTCCTCCAGGACATTCGTTTCTGGCTGGAACAGGCACAGACGGTCCAGAAGCGGCAATACGACAAGCAGCACCGTGCGGTGGCTTACGCCGTGGGCGATTGGGTGCTGCTGTGCCTCCGTCATCGCCCCATCGCGTCCCTTTCCGATGCCGCAACAGGGAAGCTGTAGCCTCGCTTCTTCGGGCCCTATCAGGTCACCGAGATCATCAACGCCGTCGCCGTTCGTGTTGCAGTTCCGCCTTGGGCTAGGCTCCATGACGTGTTCCACGTCGGGCTCCTAAAAAAATGGGCGGGTCTTCCTCCGGCAGCTCCTCCGCCGCTTCCGGCCATCCACAATGGCGCTACGGTTCCGGAACCGGACAGCGTTGTCCGCACTCGCCTGGCACGCGGCGTGCGCCAGGTCCTCGTCCGTTGGAAGGGCGAGCCGGCTTCTTCCGCTACTTGGGAGGACTGGGACTCCTTCGGCGCGCGCTTTCCAGCATTCCAGCTCGGGGACGAGCTGGTACAGGAGGAGGGGAGAGATGTCATGTACGGCCGGACCTATACCAGGAGGCGCCGGGCCCGTGACATCAGGCGCGCGGCTGAGCGCGCCCAGCGCGTCACGGATGCGACCCAGGGGTTGGCCGAGCCTTCTAGTGGCTAATATAGGCAATAGTTGTTGGTATTCCTAAGATTGAGGATGAATTAGTTATTATTTTTATTCTATCAAGGATTATATATTTCCCTATAACCGGCACCTTGAAGAATAAGAAAGATATAAACCAATCTGTCTTCTTCCTCCCAACTCTCAAGCCTAGGTCGCTGATGGGTATAACCTCGCCCTAGAAGACGGATCGCGGCTACGAATTACGTAGCCGAGGTCCAGCTACTCAAGGGTTTGACGCCCTTGACACAATCTGCAACCTGTTTTTCATAACCTGCACCTAGGACTAGCAGACTCCGATAGATAAAAATAAATACAACTTGTTTTATTCTATTGGTGTCCAATGCCTTTTATGTTGCTTTTGTGGTGAGAATTGAGATGGCCTGTGGATGCAACTTCACAGCCAACGTTGTAATAACGAAGGGTTTGCATACTGCGATGCAAATCCGGGATGTGTATTGTCGTTAGTTCCATACCTTCATCATCACACTGTAAAAGAACGAGTTTTTTTTTGTGTGGGGCTATCCTTTTTTTATAACCGTTTGATTTTGACACTGTTTGATATCAGCCTTCCGTCTTCCGAGATCTTACCCTCCCTCATTAATAACCGTTCGATCTAGACACCGTGACATATGAGCCATCCGTTGTGTGAGATCTTACATTACCCTGGCTCGACTCCCTCTTGGAGTCTCAGTCACGGATGCCTGCGCAACGCAGCTCGACTCTCTCTCGGTCACAGCGTGGCAACACGTCAGCAAAACAGAATTAATCACACAGCTCGACTCCCTCTCGGTCACTCCTACCCAGTCATCATGCATGTCCTTTCTATATGCATATAATCCCACGCATATTACAGGTTCAATCCCACGTATACATCCTC